ACAACAGCATCCATTTACCATTCGGTGGACTGTGTGCCCGTTTATAACCCCAATTCCACATAAAAGAAAATAAATATTTGATACTTTTTTTTTGAATTTTGGAATGATTAATATTTAGATTATTAAACCTTTAAATAAACATAAATAACTTGTTTTTGAAAAATCCTCTCAGACATAAAATACGTTTCAGGACCCCGTGAAACAGAATGACAACGTCCGCTACCCAGTCTCCGTTGACACCAAACACACAATATACTGGTACTATTGGCATTAAGGCGCTGAAGACTATTTTCATGATCTGCACCGACGGATAATTACTTACGGCAAGTACTTGTAATACGGCAATTTTCGGTCCACGAGACCGTATTTCAGAGCGAGCTCCTGGTGTAGAATTCTGGCTACTAGGTTGTGTCTGTGCAAGTACTCAGAGTTAGAAAGCGCCGAACAACCGGAGATGACATGCCCAAGTGACTCCCGGGAAGGCGACAAGCTCGACAGATGTCGACAGTGCCATCCTTTAGGATATATCTCCGATAGTTGTTGGTCTTTATAACCTGATCCTGTATTGCACAGACAAAACCCTCGGTTTCCCCGAAGAGGTCACCGAAACGTAGCCAGTTGAGAGAGGCGACTGTATCTACGAAGGGTTCATGTAGAGCCCTGTAGTACCTCCCGTGGAGCTCCTTCTCCTTCAAACTCGCTAAGCACTGCTGGGTCCTGCCATTGCTCGTTGGCTAAGGATAGAGGGGTAAGCACTTTATCACTAGAAATGACGTCATTATAGAATGGATCATCCGATCTCGCCAGGAAGTAATTACGGAGACTGCACACTTCGCGATTATGCATGGTGAGCGCGCTCAGAAAACCACACCCACCATGCTTTCGCGGCAAGTACAGCCTCATTTTTTTTTTTTTTTTTTTTTTTATAGGATAGGGTGACAAACGAGCGCACAGTCCACCTGATGGTAAGTGGTTGCTGTGGCCCATAGACATCTACATCTATCCTCGATTACGAATCAAAATGCAGATGCGTTGTCACCCGTGAGGACTAAGATGGAATGCCTCGTTTCCAGTAAAAAGGGTCTCCGGTTCTCTACACTCACCATACGAAATACAGCAGCATCAAGCTACTATTTCACGCTGGTATTCTGTGAGAGCGTGGTCCTTCCCCGGTCGAGCCGACCCAATCGTGCTACAACTATACTACTAATATAACTGCAGCATGGCTCTACCACGTAACCGACGATCTCGGATGATGCATCCTATGGGACGTCAAGGTAGTTCGGACTTTTCTATCCAGGGCGTTAAGTGCAGTCTGAGTCCACCTGAGTATGCCAAAGGTATACATGAGGACAGGCATGACCCAACCGTTATATGCGTGTGTCTTATTCACACCGGACAAAAGGCTTTTAAGCACTTTGGTCAAGCGTGCATAAAACACGTCGCAAACTGACTGTTTCATACCAGCCTCATCGATACCGATGTTCTGTGACATACCCAGGTATCGGTATGTTTCAGCCTCGGAAAGGGTCCTTAAGTTGACGGGCATAGTTAAGTCTATGCCCTCAGAGTTAGCAACCCTTCCCCTTTCAACATGGAGGACCGCACACTTATCCGTTCCCAGCTCCATTCCAATAGAATTGCTAAATTCACAAGTGATCTTTAGCAATTCCACAAGATGGGAGCGACTGGAGGCGAATAATTTGAAGGTCATCCATATAGAAAAGGTGGGTCACTTTTGTACCACCCTTCCGAAGCTGAAATCCCCTCCCGGAGCCCTCTAGTAAAGTACTGAGAGGGTTCAGAGAGAGACAAAACCAGATTGGACTCAGACAATCGCCCTGGGAATCCGCTCGCCCAGATAGCAAAGGATCGTACTCCATTGCCCCATACACTGCTCGAGGAAGTTTCCAACTGTACAGTCAATTTTGTACAGCTGGAGGACTCTCTTTAGCCATGTATGGGGCACCGAGTCGAATGCCTTTCTGTAGTCTATCCAAGCGGCAGAGAAATTCCGACGGTTGCGTTTCACCACTTTGCCAATGACCGCGTCAATGAGGAGTGGTTCCTTGGCTCCACGACCACCGCCCCGACATCCATTTTGAGCGCGTGACATCACCTGATTTAGCTCCAGGTGACGAGCGATTCTCGCGCTCAAAATGTCATCTTTATTATTATTATTATTATTGTGGGATATCAACATAGTTTTCTCATCTGGTTGGGTTCTATAAATATATAATTATAAATGAAAATGAAAAGATAAATATCAATAACATAAACTAAATATAAAAATAAATAAATAAATAAAAGGCCAACCAGATGGAGGCCCTCGGCAGGGGAGACCAAACGGCCGAGGGTTAGGGGGAAAGGGAAAGAAACCGGCGAACGATGCGGGCGGTATCGAGGATTATTATTATTATTATTATTTTTTATTGGTAATAAGGAAATTATTTGGTTACAAGGATAAATGTCTCCTCACAATGGCAGTTGTTCTCAAGATGACAGCCTTTTGAATTTTATCGAGCACAGCTCTTGCTAAGCCCAATTTGTCAAGGTTGCTACTTAGCTGTTTTGGTATAATACCCGTAGTTGAGAGTATAAGCGGAATTATAATTACTTCATTCTGCCGCCACATCTGCTTTACCTCTTCAGCAAGTGGTTGGTACTTTGAAATTTTTTCTGTGTGGTATTGTTGAATATTGTGTGAGTTGAGAACACCAATATCAATTAAATAATTCCGCTTCACTTCACGCATAATATCCGGCCGTTTATGGGAAATTGATCAATCCGTCAAAATTGATCTGTCCCAGTAAACTTGTACTTTATCACTTTCTAATAAAGGACTTGGTTGGTGTTTCCAATATGCAATTTCTTCATTTACCAGAAAGTATTTTTTTATTAACGCTAAGTGTATTATTTTGGCGACATCGTTGTGCCTTTGGGTATAATATGTCGCAGCAAGAGCCTGACAGGCACCGGTGATGTGCTGAATTGTTTCGGGACTTTGTCTACAGCATCTGCATAATTCATCCTCTATCTCAGCTTTAACTATGTACTTCAGATAGTTCCTTGTTGGAATAACCTGATCCTGGATAGCTATCATGAATCCCTCTGTTTCGGCGAATATTCCCCCCCTACAAATCCAGTTAGTTGAGGCAACAACATCCACGTGTGGTTTTTTAGCTCATGGGCAAAACGTCCGTGAATAGGTTTCGATGCCCACTGGCTAAATTTATTCCTAACATGATTTATATCACTTATTAGGGGTTCAATGTCTTTTGCATGGAGGAGATCCAACGGTGTAAGCCTGTCATCAGCCAGGCAGACAATACGATGCAAGGGAGAAGATTCGTTATTCCAGAAGTACTGCTGTAAGTTTTCTATTTATCTGGTATGCTGTCTCTTAATACCTATAAGCCCTCTGCCTCCCTCAGTTCTTGGTAGAGTAATCCTCTCGACCGCCGATTTTGGATGGTGGATTCGATATTTTGTAAGTATTACACGGGTACTTCGCTCGACACTCTCAAGTTCAGTGTCCGACCACTTGACAATCCCAAATGTGTACATAAGTACTGGTATAGCAAAAGTATTAATTGCCTTGAAAGTGTTTTTACCATTGAGACCATTCTTGAGTATTGCCTTGAGCCTACGGTGGTACTCAGTAGTTACCCGAGTCCTGATTTCTCTGTGGTCAACTCGTAATGATTGCAGGAGTCCCAGATATTTGTAAGTTTCTTCCTTTGTCATTGAATTGATGACTCCACCTTCTTGAAGACAATAACCTTCGGAAAATTCCACCTTACCTCGATCAATGCTTATTGTTCGGTACTTGTCTAGACCAAAGCACATCGAGATATCTTCAGAAAACTGTTCAACGCATTGGAGCAGTCCCTTGAGTTCACTGAAATTTGCCACGTACAACTTAATGTCATCCATATATATTAAATGGTTCAGTTTAAGTTGCTTCCGACTACTTCCCTTAATAACAAAACCGTATCCTGTGCGGTTTAACACTGTAGATAGCGGGTTTAAAGCAAGGCAGAACCATAGGGGACTTAAACTATCGCCCTGGAATATGCCTCGTCGAATGGAGATTTGATCGCTCTTAGCGTTGTATCCTTCCAAATTCACGACCAGCTCAGTTCTCCAGCAAGACATAAGTTGTTGAAGCAGTAATGTTATCTCGGGATGGATCTTATACAATTCGAGAACTTTGACTAGCCAAGCATGTGGCACAGAATCAAACGCTTTATATATGCCATATGGACATTCCGCATTCTATGATATGCCTGTTCTGTGACCACAGCGTCAATCAAGAGTTGTTCCTTACAGGCTTGCGATCCTCTAATGCATCCCTTTTGTTCCACTGCTAGCATTTTGTTTTGGTCCAAGTGCTCGTATATCTTATCAGCCAAGCATGATGTAAGTAGCTTATAAACGGTACAGATACAAGTAATAGGGCGGTAGTTTCCAGGGTTTTCGATATTCTCGTTCTTCGGTATCAGATACGTAACTCCATTCGAGAGATATGCGGGAATAATTTTAGGATTTCGGAGGAAGCCCGTAAAACATTTCGCCAAGGGTTCATGGAATGATGAAAATTTCTTAAGCCAGTAATTATGAATGTTATCAGGTTCTGTAGTCTTCCAATTGTGCATTTTGTTCACGGATTTTGTGACAGTGGTCTTCATTACGGTAGAAACGTAATGAAGACCACTGTCATAGGCACTGAGTTGGTGAGATGTTCATCCTCCAGATTGATCCATGTCGCGTCCTCATTATAACTTACGTCTTCGGACCAAATCCCCTTCCAAAAATTTTTTATGTTGTCAATATGTGGGAAGTTAGTATAAGTTGTATTAGTTTTGGTATTTAGTCTGAGTTGTCTATAAAATATATTTTCCCTATTCTGGAAGTTAGCATTGTCAATTTTTCTTTTTCTTGATGCTTGATATCTTCTTAAGCGGTTAGCTTTTAGTCACAACTTCTGTTTAAGTGTATCAAATATCTCCTGTCCTGTTAGGTGGATCGTGTTTTGTGTGCCTAAGTAATTCTACTTTCAATTTTTCATACACAGCAATAACCTTTTTACTTTTAATGCCCCTTATAAATTGCGTGATTTGTCCTATTTGACGGCGTAGTTTATCAATTTGTTGAATCAATCGATGCTCCCAGGCTGGAATTTTCTTCAGGGATCTTGGTTTTGTAACACAAGTTTCAACTTTTCCTCCAGTAAATCGTACAACTGCAACAGCCGCTATATAAATCAACGTATGAATGTCCTCGAAACTTTTGTCAGAGCTAGCAAGATGTTTTGGCAGTATGGTGGTGTTTAAGATGTGTACGGCCTTAGCCAATTTTCGGGATGAGTTTTGGCGTGGAATGGGTGGTCGTTTTAATGGATTAGTCCCCGTAAATTCAATAATAGCTCTTTCGAATTCTTGCTGCAGAAGTATAGTCATCTGGTTATCTGAACCTTTTTCAACTTCGATTAATTTAGCAGTTTCTACTGGCGTAATGCAGGAGTCAGATATTGAACTTATGCCCATGTCAGCGGAAAGTTTGTGCATAGGTGTATTATTTTTCGGACTTTCGGAGCGTAAATCTTCTTGATTAAATGTCCTATCACTGTCTGTCTTAATTTCAGTAGCAACCTCGGCTTTGAGTTGCTCTAATCTTACATGTGTTATCTTTTTTGTGGTCAATATAACACGTTTTTGGTCAGCTACTCTTTGTTCAGTCACTTTGTCAGCTAAATCAGGGTACTTCTGTACAAAGAGTCTCCACATATAGGACCTGTAGCCAACTGTTTGTGATTCGAGCTTGGTGGATAGGTAGTAGCAACGCATGACGTGCTCATTCATTTCAATGGTCCAAGTCATACGTTGTCTGGGGAGACCAGCCTTTGTGGTCACGGGTTGAGTACTCCGTACCGCTTAACTCCAAACACTTGGAGCCGGTTGGAGTGAGGATGTAGAAGAGGAAAGGGGATTAAAGGAGGGGTTTTCTACAGCAGCTTGAGTCTGGGTAGACTTTTGTTTTCTTTTGGTTCTTTTCATTTAGTTCCCACGAGCAGCAAGGGACTTCAACGTCAACCACGGCAGAGCCCTGCGTTCACCGTAGTAAGGGTATATAAAACTGGAGGGCCCCTGTTCTCCAGAGTTCGCATGCTAATGACTATACTTCCCCATAGCCACGCAGCCCTCGGCACATGGTGTTCCACCTTGGCTTGAGTTGGAAAGTTGGTGTCCAAATATATGAATGAATATACTTTATTGCACACCACAAACAAATTTACAAAGAACATAACAGAGAGCATATTACATGTACAATTGGCGGCCTTATCCTACAGATCTCCCGGCAACCAAAGTGTAAAAAAAACTAGTACTAGGTAGGTGGTGCAATATAAATATACCTAATATAATATCAATACATGCAATAAAATAACATATAAGTAAATAACTAATACATTACAACAAATATACCAGTGCCCATAGCCCCGTTGGCCGTGTCAGTATTATATATAGACACGTTGCCCGTCTCTTACGTGGCCTGATACTCGGCTCGGACGTGGGGTTGGAATTTAAGAGACTTATTATTATTATTATTATTGTGGTATCTATATAATTTTCTCACCTGGTTGGGTTCTATAAATATATAATTATAAATTAAAATGAAAAGATAAATGTACATAAATATCAATAAAATAAAATAAATACAAAAACTACATAAATAAATAAGATCCAACCAGATGGGAGCCCTCGGCAGGGGGGAGACCAGACGGCCGAGGGTTAGGGGGAAAGGGAAAGAAACCGGCGGACGATGCGGGCGGTATCGAGGAGCACCGCCTTCTGCATTTGAGCCCGGAGCGGTCCGTCACGGAGTCCCAGTCGCCTCAGATGACCCGAGAGGCTGACTGGGAATAGCCCATTCGCAGAGACGACTACAGGAATAATTTCGGTCGACACACCACCCCACATGTCGGTCACCTCGTGAGCCAGGTCCAGATATTTTGTTTGTTTATCTGTTTCGGCTTTCACGAGGTTCTCGTCATACGGAATGGTAATGTCGATCAAAAATATCCTTGACTGTGCCCGGTCCATCAGCACAATATCAGGCTTATTCGCAAGAATAGTCCTGTCTGTGATGATGGCCCGGTCCCAGTAGAGCCTATCGCGGTCATTTTCGAGCACGGCTTCTGGCAAGTACTTATAATACGGCAAATTCCGGTCCACGAGACCGTATTTCAGAGCGAGCTCCTGGTGAAGAATTCTGGCTACCAGGTTGTGCCTGTGCAAGTACTCAGAGTTAGAAAGCGCCGAACAACCGGAGATGACATGCCTAAGTGACTCCCCGGGATGGCGACAAGCTCGACAGACGTCGACAGTGCCATCCTTTAGGATGTATCTCCGATAGTTGTTGGTCTTAATAACCTGATCCTGTATTGCACAGACAAACCCTCGGTATCCCCGAAGAGGTCACCGAAACGTAGCCAGTTGAGGTAGGCGGCTGTATCTACGTGAGGCTCATGTAGAGCCCTGTAGTACCTCCCATGGAGCTCCTTCTCCTTCCATACGGTCTCCCCGGTCGGAAATCCTCTGTACTACCGGGTCTTGCCATTGCTCGTTGGCTAAGGATAGAGGGGTAAGTCCTTTATCACTAGAAATGACGTCATTATAGAATGGATCATCCGATCTCGCCAGGAAGTAATGACGGAGGCTGCACACTTCGCGATTATGCATGGTGAGCGCGCTCAGGAAGCCACGCCCACCATGCTTTCGCGGCAAGTACAGCCTCATTACCGACGATCTCGGATGATGCATCCTATGGGACGTTATTGTAGTGCGGACTTTTCTATCCAGGGCGTTAAGTTCAGTCTGACTCCACCTGAGTATGCCAAAGGTATACATGAGGACAGGCATGACCCAACCGTTATATGCATGTGTCTTATTCACACCGGACAAAAGGCTGTTAAGCACTTTGGTAAAGCGTTCATAAAACACGTCGCAAACTGACTGTTTCATACCAGCCTCATCGATACCGATGTTCTGTGACATACCCAGGTATCGGTATGTTTCAGCCTTGGAAAGGGCCCTTAAGTTGACGGGCATAGATAAGTCTATGCCCTCAGGGTTAGCAACCCTTCTCCTTTCAACATGGAGGACCGCACACTTATCCGTCCCCAGCTCCATTCCAATAGAATTGCTAAATTCACAAGTGATGTTTAGCAATTCCATAAGATGGGAGCGACTGGAGGCGAATAATTTGAGGTCATCCATATAGAAAAGATGGGTCACTTTTGTACCTCCCTTCCGAAGCTGAAATCCCCTCCCGGAGCCCTCCAGTAAAGTACTGAGAGGGTTCAAAGAGAGGCAGAACAAGATTGGACTCAGACAGTCGCCCTGGAATATACCCCTTCTTATCCTTATGCGGCTTTCAGCAGCCGTCATCCGCTCGCCCAGATGACAGAGGATCGTATACTCCACTGCCCCATACACTGCTCGAGGAAGTCTCGAACTGTACAGTCAATCTTGTACAGCTCGAGGACCCTCTTTAGCCATGTATGGGGCACCGAGTCAAATGCCTTTCTGTAATCTATCCAAGCGGCGGAGAAGTTCCGACGGTTGCGTTTCACCACTTTGCCAATGACCGCGTCAATGAGGAGTGGTTCCTTGGTTCCACGATCATTTTATTATTATTTGGAGTATCTATATAGTTTTCTCATCTGGTTGGGTTCTATAAATATATAATTATAAATGAAAATGAAAAGATAAATATACATAAATATCAATAACATAAAATAAATATAAAAGTACATAAATAAATAAAAGCCCAACCAGATGGAGGCCCTCGGCAGGGGAGACCAAACGGCCGAGGGTTAGGGGGAAAGGGAAAAACCGGCGTACGATGCGGGCGGTATCGAGGAGCACCGCCTTCTGCATTGAACCTGGAGCGGTCCGCCACGTAGTCCCAGCCGCCTCAGATGACCCGAGAGGCTGACTGGGATTAGCCCGTTTGCAGAGACGACTACAGGAATAATTTCGGTCGGCAGACCACCCCACATGTCGGTCACCTCGTGAGCCAGGTCCAGATATTTTGTTTGCTTGTCTGTTTCGGCTTTCACGAGGTTCTCGTCATACGGAATGGTAATGTCGACCAAAAATATCCTTGACTGTGCCCGGTCCATCAGCACAATATCAGGCTTATTCGCAAGAATAGTCCTGTCTGTGATGATGGCCCGGTCCCAATAGAGCCTGGCGCGATCATTTTCGAGCACGGCTTCCGGCAAGTACTTGTAATACGGCAATTTCCGATCCACGAGACCGTATTTCAGAGCGAGCTCCTGGTGTATAATTCTGGCTACTAGGTTGTGCCTGTGCAAGTACTCAGAGTTAGAAAGCGCCGAACAACCGGAGATAACATGCCTAAGTGACTCACCAGGATGGCGACAAGCTCGACAGATGTCGACGGTGCCATCCTTTAGGATGTATCTCCGATAGTTGTTGGTTAATTTATATTAACCAACAACTATCGGATTAAGGTTATTATTATTATTATTATAAGGGTGACAGACGAACACACAGTCTACCTGACGATAATCGTATACGCTACGCCCATAGACATCGATACTTATTTTATTTTATGTTATTGAGGATAACCAACAAGAAATACTTTATAATATGTTATGTTATAATACTTACATTCTAGGATTAAGAACTAAATGTTGTTTTACCTATTTTACTTAATTTTACCTATTTATAAACCCCTAATATAAAATATGATGACAATTATAATAAAATTACATTACTTTAAACTTTTTAGATGAAAAGCGTTGATTATTGATATCTATGATATATATTGTTTTCTATTCGTTGGGACAGTGAGTTATATCGACGTTGAATTCTGACTTTGTCACGAAAGGTGAAAATATTTTGAAGGTCTAGGTGTTCTAGTTTGTGCATTTAATAATTTTTTTTTGTAATAATTCGAGGCCATCGATTTCTCTATTGACCAGTTTGAACAGGTAATCAAGATCGATTAAGTGCCTACCTTCTTTTGGACTATTTGTTTGAAAGTGATTTAGTCGGTCTTTATAGGATGGTAGGAGTTTAATACACCGCTTTTTTAAAAAATATTGAATGAAATTTTATCAAGAGGATTTCCATACCTTTCTACCTAAATTTTACCTAAATTTTTCATTTTCTCGTAAAGTTTTGATTAATATATTCGAAAACCAAACTGGATATTTATAACATCTAATAGTTTTTATAGGGACACATTTTGAAATCTTTTCGCGGGTTTTAGTTTAAAATACTTTAAAAAATAATTCCATAATATTTTGCTTGGTATATACATGCTATAAATGTGTTATTTATGTCGGTAACGTTTATAGTCTCTACACTTTATGATGCCTCATTTTGTGGCAGAATTAGCTTTGTAATATCAACTCTCGATACCATCCGAACGATCTGAATAAGATGATGTTGATAGTACAGAGACGTTTACCAGTTAGTATGTTGACGTGGGGTTCAGTTAGTATGTTGACATATATGAATTTTAACAATTTTCTATAAATTTCAACCTTAATTGCATGTTGTGGTGAACAATGTGGTTGTCTGGCGGATAGGACGTATTTATTTATAACGTCATTAAATTCTTTTTGGGTCATCATAAACATATGGGCATTTTACCCTCTATTAGCATTAATAATCCGTAAGATGCGAACAAATTATAGAAATAGATGACAAGAAGCAGGTAATCAAACTAGCCATTAAAATTTAGGCATGAGATATTAAATTATTGTAATGGATTACCTAGTACTGTTTGTAACTGTATATATTAGGTCTGTACTTATGTAATTGCC